GCATGAGTTCTCCTTGGAAGTAGACTGCAAGGAAGGTAGTCCAGAGCAGTGAATCATACAGAAATGCAGTTGATAATTAGAAATAGTGGAAGCTATCTTGTCTTAAGCCGGTCTGCCTAACACAATATTGTCCGCACAATCTGATGGGTTCAGATCTTTCTTACTCCTAGCTGGAAGAGTCCTCAGCTGAACCTGTGTGAGCTAAGACCCTTCCCCTTCCTTTTCTCCCGATAAGTACTTAGACTTACAAGAGCCTTTCATTATCTCATTTCACTGATTGTGCCACCTTAGTTAATTGATTTTAAAATTTTATATCCTGCCTTATCTAAAAAGATGTCAGGTCAGGGTACAGACATCAAAACAGCTAAAACCAGTTTAAAATAACCGGCACTTCTCTCAAAGCTTGGACATCACTGATCTGGGAAATAGAAATCCATGTGCCAAGGAAACACTCAGAAGTGGAAGTTGCTTCGTTCCTTCCTCTTGTTTCAGCAGAAATGTCAGCTCTACATGCCAAGAGTACTCTCAGATGCTGCATTTACTGTGTCAGGTTTATCAGCTGCTCTTTCTACTGTAATATTCATTTTATTTAATGTAGATGTGAACATTCCACAATGCCAGTCTTTCTTTGGCATCCTGCACCAAATAATAACATGGAATTCAAGTCATTATAATACCAAAGCCATCAGATAAAAACACAGAAACCAGCAAAGAATTTCTTCTTGCAGAACAAAAAAAAAATCATTCATGCTGTCTTAAAATGGGAAGAAGAAGGAGCATGAATTACACAGGGAAAGAATTACACAGCTATGGAGGCACCATCAAAAAGTTTATGCCCTGGAATGATTTAGATGCCCTGCCACATATGGAAAAAATTAATTAAGCCAGTGTCCATTACCCCCCCCCCATATCAGCACATTTTACATGTATATAGCTATACACACAAGTGATCACTCACATCCTGAGTGATCTATATGGTCACATCCATATGACTGGTGGAGACATGGTCACAATATGTGCCCATGGCGGATGGGTTAGGCCCCACAGTTCTTTGTACATAATCTGGTGATGCCCACCAGTCTTCCTGTTGGTGGGCCAAAGGAGTCTCCACTAGAAACAGATCGAAAGAAAGAAAGAAAGAAAGAAAGAAAGAAAGAAAGAAAGAAAGAAAGAAAGAAAGAAAGAAAGAAAGAAAGAAAGAATAGTAATCAATGCTACAACCTGGTAAATGGTTGCCTAGGGCATTTATGTTTGCCAGTAATAATTTCAAAATAAGCAAAGATATGTATTTTAAAAATCATTGAATCAACAACATATTTGGCAATGCTCAATGATATATTCTTTTTAAATATTGAATATTGTTAGCAACATGGCATGGGCTGAGTTAAAATACTAAATGGGGATATTTTGGGCACCTTTCCCATCAACAAATTGTGCAGCCAAGTGCAATGAACATGGTCAAATGGAGCAATAGTTAAACAATATGAAACAGGCTGCCCACAGAATGTTTCCAGCTAGTCATGATTAGAGAGCAGGAAGGTTTTAATGATATATATTTGCCATTTGAGGGTATGTCTTCTTACCATAATCACCACATCTGGTATGCCATGCCCAGGTCCGGGCAACTGACACTGAATTTACCTCTTTTATAGTGTTAGAGACTAAAATAGTATTGCTGAACTTTAAAATGAAAGAGTGTAAATAGATAAATAAGTACACGAACAATCAGACAAACGATAGCTGAAGAACTCTTTTCCCATCCAAGCAATTTACCCTTTGCAAACATGGCACTGGGGGTGATTAGATAGCACGGAGCAGTTCATAGGAGAAAGATGCTATGCTGTGACAAACATTTGCACAGAAAGCAAAGGAGAGAAAAACTGCCATTTCCATGTACAGTATCTGTGGATTCTGTCATACTGGATATTTTAACAGAAGATCTCCCTGACCTTGCTTATCTTGAAGTACCTCACATAGGCTGAGGGAAGCATAGAATATAATGTGATTTTCCCCCATTATTTGCTCTTAGAAAAGTATAATTGATGTCTATGTGAATGATTAGAATCGTTAGATGATTTTATCAGTAACTCCATATCAAATAACAAAGAATCCATGTTTATTATTTATATTATGCTGCCAAAGTTCATGGCAATTTACAACATAATTTTATTTATTTCTTTTGCAAACACACATTCTCTGCTGTATCTCCAAGAAGATCAAGGTGGATTACAGAAAGGTCAATAACTTAACAAGTGAAAATGTCTTTTCAATTTATACCATAAGCACTAAGCATTAGAACATGGAAACGGTGGAAGAAAACAATAACACAACAGCAATCAAACTATTCCAAATGTTCAAAAGAAAGAGGGAAGTGAATTTATAAATGCTTTCCTAAAAATAACTGTTTTTACCACCTTTTGAAGGGTAATGATCTAAAAAGTGAGACAGGCCTTCTTGAACCTGATTGTCCAAAAGTGTCTCTCATATGATCAGGAATGCAAAGGAAAAAGTAAAGAGCAATACTCAGAAAAGTTTGGTCTGCCTCACACCCCACCCCATGCAGTCTGACTGGAAATTAATTCTGGTGAGAAAAGAGGGCTGCAGAGTAGGAACAAAAATAATAGTGTATGGCTATCGTGCTATACCCAAGCATACTAGGGGTTAATCCTGTAAAATATAGGCTGCAGCTACATGGCAGGAAAAATGTGAACTGATCTTTTGTGAAGTCACATCATAGATGCTGGACTTCCTTGGGTGAATTTGCTGTAGTGGATCATGCAGATGTCAGGAGAGAGTGAAGGAAATTGCCAATCTAAATTTGTTAGCATCCTGTTAGGGTGGCTATTCTGCAGTCATCCAGATTTGCAGCAGGCACAGCAAGGATAGAACTACATTAACAAGCTGCAAACAGGGATTGGCTGCCAGTTTTCTTCCCTCTGTCAATTTCCTTCTCATTTACTTTTATTTTTATCTTCAAGACTTTGGGGGGGGGAATAAACAATTTGGAGACAAAAGGGGTGACCAGTTGAGGAGAACTGACACCTGCATTTATGGCTCTTTGCTTCCTACCTACCTACCTTAAACTAGGAAGCTGAGAGAGCCAGCTTGTGGACCCAGATAAAATTCCCTTGCTTGTGTGCCCCAATCTTTAAAATACACCATTGTCATCAATATGAGGAAGAGATCCCTGCACTTGGTGACCCGTCTGCCAGCCAATGCACCCAATACTACAATCTTCATGGGTAACAAGGATTGGCAACCAAAGCTGGGTATGCCCCTTGGTGTGTGACCACTAGGAGAATCCAACAATACCTGTTGGTGGTGGTGGGGCGCTACGACAGCTTTCCTGAGTCAGCCAGACCTTGTGAGCTTGAGGTTCCAGACAGCCAGTTCCTCTTGTGGTTGGCTAGATTTGAATATTTCCTGGCCAGGAAATCACACCAAGGGTCATGGGAACGTGGCAGCCTCCCTCCATATGGCCAGGCCTCAATGAGATGCAAACAGAGCCCCAAGCAAGAGAAATGGAGGGACCCAAGCCTCTGGTCAGCTCATGCAATCATACCGATGCAAATACATTCCATCTGAGAAAAGAAGAAGCCCCAGGAGCAGACTAGACAGGAAAAACTCTAGACTAATTCATATTGACTTTTATATCATGTAGACAATGGAAACTAACATTAATCTGACTGCTTCATTACTACAGCATTTCCTGCATTATTTGCTAATACAGTTGCACTCTCAGTGGGGCCTATTTCTGAATCTGAGGGGGACAGAACTGAATCATAAGATCAGAAGGGAGTGTTTACATTTATAATGTGCTACAGTAGTGAATATTTCCACATAAATTGCGAGTGTCTGAAAAAGAGAAAGAGAGAAAGAAAGTGCTCTGCACCACAAAATGTCTGCTGCGTCTGAACCATTCCAACGTTGGGGAGTGGGATGTATGAGGGCTGCAAACATTACCTCTTTTCTTTCCATTTTACAATTGTTCCTTGAGATAATTATTCATACTAGATCCTCTCCTCGTTTTGATTTCCTCCAGGTCTACGGGTACGTCCAACTTGCAGAAGTCTAGGATTCCGCACTGGTGTGCTGCTGCTCCACGGCACCCACACAAAGCCCACAACAGAACGTTGTTTTGGGAGTTCTGCTAGTGGATCTCCTCTTTCAAAGCCACTTAGGACCTTACTAGACAAGACATTGACTTTGCCTTGGGATGCAGTCCATCTTTAAGAGGAAAAGGCTGTTTATTTTTAACAAGAGCTAAAGTTTACTCCCATTAGCTTGCTTTTGTTTTGTAATGAGGAGACAGCACTGCTGTGTTTCTGTGCATAGTGTATCAGGCTTATAGAAGGAAGAATCATAAAACTGGGAGGGGATAATGTTAATTTATGTGAACAGGGGTTTGTACACCTAAGACTTTGCTGGACTACATTTGTGATGTCAAGAAAGCTTTTCACATGTGTGTTTCAGGTGCTCAGCAAGTCCTTGATTCATATGTGCCTCTTTACATATACTGTATGTTTATTTGCTAGTTTACTTTCTCCTGTTCAATAGAAGCTGATAGCTCCCAGTTTGAAATAAGGCAACATAGCTATGAACAAACCGAACCACAAATCAAAATATCAGCCATCTAAAACATGATAAAAGATGGAGGATTTCACTAAGAGCACACAGTTGAACAAAATAGTATTCACTGACAACATACAGATATTTATGGACTTTGTTGTTGTTGTTTAGTCGTTGTGTCTGACTCTTCGTCCCCCCACGGATCAGAGCACGCCAGGCCCTCCTGTCTTCCACTGCCTCCCGGAGCTGGGCCAAATTCATCTTGGTAGTTTCAATGACACTGTCCAACCATCTCATCCTCTGTCGTCCCCTTCTCCTCTTGCCCTCACACTTTCCCAACATCAGGGTCTTTTCCCGGGAGGCATCTCATGAGATGGCCAAAGTATTGGAGCCTCAGCTTCAGGATCTGTCCTTCCAGTGAGCACTCATGGTTGATTTCCATCAAAATGTATAGGTTTGATATCTTTGTAGTCCAGAGGATTTATGGACTACAGTTATGAAAATTCTTCAGGTAGGATAATGAAAGGCTGGATGGGGGGGTATTATGGAGGTTGTCCCCCAATAAGTTTCATTTAACCTCATCCAATCCTAAACATACCCCAAGACAGAAGTTCAAATTTCAGTGGCTTCCCCATGATTAGAAGCAGAATTTTTCTTTTAAAAAATCCCTGTCACAGTTTTATGCCAGTCACTTATTGGCAGAGCCCCATAGAATGTAGTTATGGGAGAGTGCAGCATATAATAACAGTATCTAACAGTTCTACTAAACAGAAAAAAAACCAATGGAAAGCTGAAGTGGCACATGATAAAAATTCAAACTGCGCATTCAGAATTTATTATTCACATTGTAAGCACTACCATATGCTTTACAAGCTGTAACTAGCACCCATGTGGTCCTATGGATAACAAGATCAAGAATTATAAGAGCAAACTTGATTAAAATAAGAAACACCACTAACCAAACGTCATAGATGAGACTTAATAACATATTTGTTATGAGAAGCAAAACAAACCAAGTGATGGCAAGGGCTTTATATATGAAAAAATTGGAATGAAACCATAAACTCATTTTTAATTCTGTACTCAAAGTTGCTAAAACTTTGCCTTCTCTTCTCCTCCTCTGGCAAGTGTTGTCTTTGTTCATTTGGACAGGAATTTTGAAGTGGAATAACATCGTGAAAATTAGAGGTGAGATGAATTCACACCTTCCTGTGAAATAATTCTAAAATTCTTTGTACTATATTGAATGTTGGAGTGCAGATATTGTTGGTGTGAACTGGATTTGTCTTTGAACCTGCCCCTTTCTTTCCAATTATTGCTTCTCACTTAGTTTCATTTTACATGGTGACATCAGAAAGCCAGTTCTCAGCAAGGGCAGCACCTGTCTCCCACATTATTAATGATCTGAAACCTCAGCATATTTGCATTGCCACCCAAAATATGACTTAAAATAGGGGTTTGCAAGTAACAAAAAATTTAGAGAAGGTTTATTCTAGTCTATTCCTTAATTATTCCCTGTTTCTATTTACCCCACAATCCATTCATCCAGCATTCTGGTTTAGTTGAGAAGAATTTCTGCCTTTAATTCCAGAACTGTTTCCAGTGCATTTGTTCAGTTCATGTGGATTTCTTTGTCTTCTGTGTTATCGATATGCATGTATACATTTGATACAATAGTATGTGCTTCCTGATTTCTTCTCCCAGTTTTCTAACAACACACACAAGTGTCTATGTTTATCTGTAAAACAATGCACAAAAATAAACACATCTTGATAGAGTCAAATCGGTTAACATTAAGATGTTTAGAAATTATTTTTATGCATTACTTGTTTCTTTGTTTCTATTATAATAAATACATATATTGTTATTGTTTTAAAATTGCTTTATTGTGTGAATACCCCCAAGAACCTGTTATAGTGTCCAATAAATAAATAAATAAATAAATTGGGGGGGTTGCTTAGCATTTTATCATTATGCATATGTTAGTTTCTCATGAGGAAGTAAAAAAGATTAATTTTAAACCAGACAGACTGGATGTCTAAGACTGTACCCCCTGGCTGGCCAAGCAGGGAAGTAAGATATTTCACATAACTAGTTAGTGGGTACCCAGTGTGGTGCAGTGGAGAGACTGAATGCTTATAAATTAGTCATTCAGATTTTTACAAAAGCAATGAAATATCACTATATCAGATTACTGTTGAGGAAACAGGAAAGTAAAGATATACCTTTTTAAAAATTGTAACTATAATTACAACTGAGTATTTTTGGAGGAATCTTGAACTACAACTTCATTTTACCATAGTTACTTTTTAAAAGTAATTTTCCACTGCTATGCTGGTTAGTGCTGGAAACCGTCTGCCTCATCTCATTTGATCATTCTCTACATTGGATGTGTGAGAGACCAGCGGGATGTAAGAAGGAGTTGGGCACCCAGGCCTTAAACCTACCATGTGCAGGAAAATAAAACTTTCTCTTCCTCCTCCTCCTCCTCCTCCTCCTCCTCCTCCAGCGCTGTTCTCTCTGGGTTTTTTGTCCCCTCCTGAAGTAACAGAGAAGCAATGTCCTGACTGAAACCTGGCTAGCCTAACCTCCACCTGCTGCCAAAGGGATCCAAGCCCTTAGAAATAGGTTTACTTCTTCACAGAGAACTAGGCCTCAAGAAGCAAATGAACATTCTCTTACAGATACTTTCCCCCTCTTCTTTTTTTCCCCCATGAGTTTTTGAATCCTTGTTCACCAAGAATGTATAATTCTCACCAAAAAGGAATTAACTGTTGCTTTAGAAGTGCGGCTATTTCTATGCAGAATACCCCCTGCTTGCCTAGGTGGATGAATGTTTAATAGAAAAGGTGAAGTTTGACACCATTTTCATTATAGCTTTTGCAACTCACCTTAAAAGTGGTGGATTTTGAAAGGGTCCTCTGCACCAAAGTAGGGACAAACCTTTTAATTTCCATGGGATGCTTCACACGCAGGGCTGGATAGCTGATGATGGCCGGAACTAGGCCTTAGAAGAAGAAAAGAATGAAGGCAGGGGGGAATGAAAGGTTTTTGTACCATTATTAAATACCGTAAAGGATAAAGGCAGAACAAGTCATACAGGAACAACTTATCTTGAGTTGAGAGACAAGCGAATATATACTTCTTTGAGAGGGTAAAAAGCCAACATCATTTCAAGGAGACCTCGTCCTCTTTGATGTAATGCAAGTAGCAGAGACGTTACATGCTTCCCCCACCCACCAAATGTAGATAATATTAAGAAATGAAACTGGTCTTTCTCGCAGGACAGGACCTGAGCACTGTATAACTGTATGTTATGCTAAATAACTGTACGTTTCAAGTTTTTAATAAACTAAGATTGGACATGTAAAGAAAGCACATGATGAGTACAGGATTAATGAGTCAATTGACTATTGGTTTATGGTGGTATACCAAGACCCCAGCTGTTGACGTGACATATCAACCCAGAACCAAGGGGAAAATATGGATGTTTGGTGGGCAGGCAGGTTAGAAAGTTTTTTCAGGCTCTGCACTACCATCAAGCCACAATGAAGTTTTTTCCTGGCTGAGAGCTGCTGCAAGGATATATGCAACCAGAAATTTCACAAATCATGATAGCAGTGCTTCACTCCCTGCCTTACTCCAAACGGTATGAGGGTTTGAAGCACTTGCACCCACTGTCTCTTCTGTTCCAGTCTTCTCTCTTTCATTCTGAGTTTTTGTAGTGTGTGCTGCAAGTTCCACAAACCTACAAGTGTGCATTGAGTGAGTTAACCTGGCACCATCTGGGAATGAAAGGAGATAGGTAGCTTTTAAGGCACTTCAGTCGAGGTTCCTCCTCCAGGATTGTTCAGATCGAGATTTGCCTCCTTGCCCAGAGAAGCTGTGAGAATGGCACTCAGGAAGACAGAATGTTGTGTTGTGTCTCTTTCCTCAGACATGAGAGTTTCATCAAGCTTGCTTGTGGATTGAGGAGGAGCTCTAGTCATCTGGGAAGAAAGAGAGGAGGAAATGCCTGGGAAAGAATCTGAGGTGGAGGACAGAGAAAAGGAGACGAGTGAAAATCAGTGCCTAGAGGAGGAGGAGGGAAATACAGAGGAGGAGGGAACTAGCTGAGAAAAGAGGCAAACAATTAGAGAGAGACGGAATTGATGAACATCTGAAAAGACATAGCAGTAGAGTAGGTGATTGAACTCAACTTCATGGATGTAGGAGTATTGGAGGAAAGTAAACCAGTAGAAAAGTGGGAGGAGGTAGTTAAGAAGGATCTGTGGACCACAGAACCTGTCTTATTTGGAATCCCCAAGATAGAGGCTGAAAGGATAATGTCAGTCCAACCCCCTCATAAGCTCTCTTGCTGGGGAGAATGGGAGGTAACAGAGAGAAGACACCAGGTCCAGGAAGCTAGTTTCTGGAAGAAGAGTGGAGGAGTAGCAAACCCTGGCCCAAGACACAGGTGTGGGATTGCCAAACCAGAGGACCTGGTGTTGAATCTCACTAAGATTAAGAAGACACCACAGGTCAAAGTGACCAGAGAGTTACAAGAAGGACATTAAGTTGATGGATAGTTGATGTTATCAGTTGATAATCATGAAAGTTTAAAGAATTGTTTAATAAAACCTGTCGTTTCACATACTACTGACTCACATACTACTACCTTCATCATGGAGGTGAATATGGGTAATGGAGGCATCATGAATATGGCAGAGGACAGAATCACAGAAGTATAAAATTTCCCTGAGACTTCAACCAGAGCTCTGAGGCCTAGACACCCTATTCACCTGCTCTGCTCCCAGTTATTTATATTGCTTATTCTATTCCATCCACTCTCCCAGCTACAAATATGATGGAGGGAACTTTCCCTGGGTGCAAGTGTCTTCTGCTCCTTTTGAATATATTCATGGAAAAGCTAGACTCTCTATGTAGTTTTGGATCTGGCCTCACTCACTGTGCAATCCCACTGCTGAAATGTAGACATCCTCGAATAGGTTTCAACCACAGTAGTGCAGACCTGTGCAATTAAAAAGATTCCTTCCTGCTTGAGCTAATGGAAAGACTATTGTGAGCTTTTGCAATCTTGCATTCTGCCTTTACTAGGTTTGGCTGGGAGGGACCTTTCTGGGCCAGGGTCACTGTCAATCTATCCAGCACTAACCAATTATTCTTTCTGTGTCTCTAAATTCAGAGATAGTCCTGCCTCTCTGCTTTTGTGCTCTTTCCCTCTCTATTGCCTGTTGGAAGCAGTCACTGAGACTGTTGAAGTCTATTTACTGTTTACTGCAAGAACTCGTGTTTATAAGTTTTTGCTGTTTGATCTGTTCAACTGTAAGTGCATAGGTCTGCTGTTTGATATGTTCAACCTTTTATTCTTTCTCCTACTAATATCTCAGAGTTATTGAAACTGTAAGTGCCAGTTAAAGAGAAAAAGGGGTGGTCTACTCCGGGGAATGTAAAGGTATTAGTGCTTCACTCCCTGCCTTACTCCAAACGGTATGAGGGTTTGAAGCACTTGCACCCACTGTCTCTTCTGTTCCAGTCTTCTCTCTTTCATTCTGAGTTTTTGTAGTGTGTGCTGCAAGTTCCACAAACCTACAAGTGTGCATTGAGTGAGTTAACCTGGCACCATCTGGGAATGAAAGGAGATAGGTAGCTTTTAAGGCACTTCAGTCGAGGTTCCTCCTCCAGGATTGTTCAGATCGAGATTTGCCTCCTTGCCCAGAGAAGCTGTGAGAATGGCACTCAGGAAGACAGAATGTTGTGTTGTGTCTCTTTCCTCAGACATGAGAGTTTCATCAAGCTTGCTTGTGGATTGAGGAGGAGCTCTAGTCATCTGGGAAGAAAGAGAGGAGGAAATGCCTGGGAAAGAATCTGAGGTGGAGGACAGAGAAAAGGAGACGAGTGAAAATCAGTGCCTAGAGGAGGAGGAGGAGGGAAATACAGAGGAGGAGGGAAAAGCTGAGAAAAGAGGTAAAGAATTAGAGAGAGATGGAATTGATGAACATCTGAAAAGACATAGCAGTAGAGCAGGTGATTGAACTCAACTTCATGGATGTAGGAGTATTGGAGGAAAGTAAACCAGTAGAAAAGTGGGAGGAGGTAGTTAAGAAGGATCTGTGGACCACAGAACCTGTCTTATTTGGAATCCCCAAGATAGAGGCTGAAAGGATAATGTCAGTCCAACCCCCTCATAAGCTCTCTTGCTGGGGAGAATGGGAGGTAACAGAGAGAAGACACCAGGTCCAGGAAGCTAGTTTCTGGAAGAAGAGTGGAGGAGTAGCAAACCCTGGCCCAAGACACAGGTGTGGGATTGCCAAACCAGAGGACCTGGTGTTGAATCTCACTAAGATTAAGAAGACACCACAGGTCAAAGTGACCAGAGAGTTACAAGAAGGACATTAAGTTGATGGATAGTTGATGTTATCAGTTGATAATCATGAAAGTTTAAAGAATTGTTTAATAAAACCTGTCGTTTCACATACTACTGACTCACATACTACTACCTTCATCATGGAGGTGAATATGGGTAATGGAGGCATCATGAATATGGCAGAGGACAGAATCACAGAAGTATAAAATTTCCCTGAGACTTCAACCAGAGCTCTGAGGCCTAGACACCCTATTCACCTGCTCTGCTCCCAGTTATTTATATTGCTTATTCTATTCCATCCACTCTCCCAGCTACAAATATGATGGAGGGAACTTTCCCTGGGTGCAAGTGTCTTCTGCTCCTTTTGAATATATTCATGGAAAAGCTAGACTCTCTATGTAGTTTTGGATCTGGCCTCACTCACTGTGCAATCCCACTGCTGAAATGTAGACATCCTCGAATAGGTTTCAACCACAGTAGTGCAGACCTGTGCAATTAAAAAGATTCCTTCCTGCTTGAGCTAATGGAAAGACTATTGTGAGCTTTTGCAATCTTGCATTCTGCCTTTACTAGGTTTGGCTGGGAGGGACCTTTCTGGGCCAGGGTCACTGTCAATCTATCCAGCACTAACCAATTATTCTTTCTGTGTCTCTAAATTCAGAGATAGTCCTGCCTCTCTGCTTTTGTGCTCTTTCCCTCTCTATTGCCTGTTGGAAGCAGTCACTGAGACTGTTGAAGTCTATTTACTGTTTACTGCAAGAACTCGTGTTTATAGGTTTGCTGTTTGATCTGTTCAACTGTAAGTGCATAGGTCTGCTGTTTGATATGTTCAACCTTTTATTCTTTCTCCTACTAATATCTCAGAGTTATTGAAACTGTAAGTGCCAGTTAAAGAGAAAAAGGGGTGGTCTACTCCGGGGAATGTAAAGGTATTCTGCTCTGTGAATCCCTGTGCTTCTGCTGAGCAGGCGGAAGAATTTAACCAGAAATTCAAAACATTGTAACAAAAGTATCATTTTAAAATGTGTAGTATGAATACATTGCAGTCCTTTTCATTCAAAGATATCAAGCTCCAAGAGTCTGGGGGCCAATTCCCTTCCCTTCCCTTCCCCCCAGGAACTACAAAGAACTTTGCCAAGCCTGAAAAAAAGAGGAGGAAATTGTGTCAAAGGTGGCTTGACATGCATTTCCACTTTTACAAAGACGCTTTAACAAAGACACAGGAAGGCTGAGAGAGCTGCACCTTGTTTTAAAAAATTATTCTTGTTTCAAGATTCGAGAAGCAGCTGTTCTCCTTTCTCTTGGAAACAAATGGATATTGAACAGTGTAAAAAGTGTTCTGGGATTAAAGGAAAGGAAAGGGCCTGTAAGAGCATATGGAGTATGCATCCTCTCCTCCCCCACACCGTTTATCTGTACCACCTTCAGGGAGGGAGATTAGCCATGTGTCATGAATAGTTATTCAGCTTACTTGTGGGAGAGCAACTCTGAAGCTCATGACATCTAATGTGTTTTTGGCATATTAGGGGTACAGTGTGAATTTGGAGCCCCTCTCTCATCCAGGCAGTAATATAATAACATGAAGGAACTCATTGTCTCTCCCTTCATCCCATCCCAATACAGATAGAGAGGTCTGTTTGATTTATTATATCACTCCATATGAGCCTTCTCGGCTTGTAAGATCTTCTCTTGTTTCCCTCACCTTCCCACACTTGGTTGGTGAGGACATGAGAGACGGCCTTCTTAGTAACTGCTCTCGGGCTTCGGAATGCCTTGCCCCAAGAAGCCAGATCGTCCACCTTCCTCTCGTCCTTCCATCATCAGGCAATGACTTTCATTTTCAGGCAAGCTTCTAAGCAATAAGTGTCCAGGGAAAGGTCTTTTAAAAAAAAAATTAGATATTTTTAAAATTTTTAAAAATGTTTCAAAATTGTTTTTTAATACATTGTTTTGTATGTCAATTTTAACTTGCAATTATTGTATGATTTTAATTGTTGTGAGCCATCTCGGGTCCCCTATGGGGAGAGAGGTTGCATGTAAATAATAGAATACGTAATAAATAAATATTAAATGCATTACTGAATATATTACTAGATTTTACTGAATGTTACTAAGGACATCCCACAGGCTTTTCAGTCCCTTTGCAAAGGATATGGCTTTCCTTTTCCTATATCAAGAAGAGCGGGATGAGCGCCGCCCCCTAGAGTCGGACACGACTGGACAA